GCCACGGACAGACAGAAGCTTGACCATGGGACAATAAAATGATGAGAAGGCTCAGCTCACTTTGGGACAGAGTGGTTTGGAATAAGGGCAGGAATTTCGAGGGCATGTCTGTAAGCTGTTTAGAATCGAACCCTACAGACCAGACCAGACCTTCAACAAGAGGTGTATTTGAGAACTATCAGTTTGTGCAAGAAGATAGAGCCTTCATGAAGCATCAGTATGTCGGGAATACAAGAGGCGAAGGGGTCTGGTGAGGAAGCTGAATAGTGAGCAGCCAGAGGCTAGAATGTCAGGGGTAGAAAAGATGGTTTCAGTAGCAAGATGAAAGGAAACAGAAGCAGATCTTCTAGCCCCAAGATGATGGCATGGCTGTAAACCATGGTTTAGAAAAACTAAAGCAAAGACTTCATGCCTCCTTCCCCCCTTGCTTTAGTTGATATTAGAGGCAAAAATACAATGTTGAATTAAAGTAATAACATAGGGATGAAGTATTCTTTCGTGGCAAAAACCACAGCTGCATTCAGTTTCAGAAGCCCTTAGAATGCCTTGAACTCTGCGCTTTCGCAACTGGGACCCTATTAATTTTGTGACTTGTTCAATCCATGTGGACTTTGCCATTTATAATAAAAAGAAATGCTTTGGAAATGTTGGGCTGTGTCATGTAGAGGCAGGACAGAGCCTAGAACCCAGGACTCCTGATCCCAAGCAGTGGACAGTTCACGTCAGCTTGTCCCATCTGAGGATGCACCCAGACACCTGTGTATAAAGAGTCAGGATGAATCAAAGCCCCGTAAAAGTATAAGCACCTTAAGTTAGGGAATCCTCTTCCTGGCTAGCCACACCCTAAAACACCCCTTCCCCTACAAAAGGATCTCCTTCCCCTGCCCGGTTCCCCACCCCATGTGTGTATACTTGCCAAATGGCCCTTAGTCTCCATCCATCCTTCTCCTCCACCCGCCTCCACCCCAACAAACCTCTGTTGCTGGTCAGCCAGATCCACAGATGTGGGTGGGTCTCCATGGTGACAGCGGACGTCTTGGTGCAGAAGGAGAGAGACACAAACAGCAGAGGAAGGTTCTTTGCGCCTAACACACCGCCTTCTGCCCTCACTTTTCCAGGGCATCAGGCTTCAGAAGGGCATCCTTGGACTCAGAGAAGCACATTAGATGTCAAGAGAGGTGTTATTGTGCGGGAGAAAAAAATGGAATGCCTGAACTCTTCTTTAAACATCTCTTTTCTATGATTTCCAGGTGATCATCAGTATAACCATCCAATTTTAAGCAGTGCTGCCCAGACCCCTACACATGGTGAGAGATGGCTGTGAGCGCTCCGTATTCCATCCCCATTCCGAGTGGTTCCATCCTGACTACTGATGCCCATCGCATCAGACATATGCTCATGACTCACTGATGCTCAGGAGGTGTAAGGAGCCCACAATGGCTCAGTCCCACCCTTACACCATTGACCCCCTCATGTCCTGTCTCTGAAACTGGAGTGACCTTCCACCGTGAAAGGGAAGGAGTGAGACCCTCTCTTAGCCCATTCTCATGTGCAATCTAGATCACTTCTTGCGGTCATCAATTCCATATGTCCACAGCAAGGAGTGAGCACTCTCCTTGGCCCCAGGCTCCTTGTGGTACCATTTACTAATGGCATGGGACTTGGCATATAAACCCTATCAATCCACCCCAAACAAAGTAAGATTTGCTAACACTCAAAACCAGACTGGGTGACCTGAGCATTAGCCCCTGGGCAGGGGAGGAAGATGAAGGTTGTAGGGCACAGGAGTGTGCAGACAGCCCCAGAGGTTTACAAAACCAAGTTTCCTTTTTAACACTTCCTCTTGCCAGGTCGCAATATAACATCTGCAACGGCAGAGAAAAACTATTTTGGGCACCCGCTCAAAACTTGGTAGGACACAAGACAGACATGTAAATTATGAACTATCAGTCATTCCTCTGTCTTTGCTCTGAAGGAGTGAAAACATCATTAAATTTTAGTGAGAGAGAAACTCAAAGATAAAATCTGCAGCTCGCTTGGCAGAGAGACCTACCACCCTCCTGTGAGATTATGCTCTGCGTCAGCCCTGAGGTGTTGAGCATTATAATTAGGAGGCTAGAACTGGACTGTTTTGATGTCCCCCTCTAGGGCTAGGCTCCTGGTGGAAATGCGTGATGAAAGCAATAGTTTAATAAGCTGTTTCAGGTTGCGGGGTCTAGGAAAAAACCAGAACTGGAAGACATTAGAGAGATCAGTTAAGAGCGGGACCCAGGGGTGATGTGGACAGTGGGAAAAGACAAAAGATGATGGAGAAGGAATCGAGAAAACTTACCGAATTTGGCTGACAAGAGTCAACTGTGAGTAAAATGGTGAGCTATGCTCAATTAGAAGAGTGGGGGTTTTTAGTAATGCAATCTGGAGAGGCAAGAAAGCAGCCTGTGTGTAGGGGAGATGAAGCTGTTGATGGCGAATTTGGATCTGGACATCTGAAGCTGGAGAGAACCATAGGGTAGTCAAGAAAAATGATTCAGCAGGCAGCTAGAAATGCAGAGATGCAGTCTGGAGGCAGGTTACAGCTGAAGATGTCAGTTATGCTTTGGAAGCAGGAACAGACGGCCTGGGAATGGGGGCAGCCTGTGCAGAGAAGGCTGAACGAGAAAAGCAGAGGCAGAAGCAGAGAGCCTGGGGGATGCCCATGGTGATGACACAGCTGTAGGAAGAGGAGCCAGAAAAGGCAAGCGAGGAGTGCTCCACTCACTCCTGAACATTCTGGAAGGATAAGTGGGAACTGGTTTGGCTCCTTCAGGCACAGCCTCCTGAGGACAGAAGGAGGAGCCATTCCTCCCTGCTCCTCTCTCGGTCTTTTCTTTTTCCACCTGGTACAAGGGGGCAAGGGTAGGTAGATCTGGTCCTTGCCCTTGAGCAGCTCACAGCCTGGTGGGAGCAGGGTTTTCTCTGCATTTCTTCCTTGGAGGCTACACTTTCCCCCAGGAGCTGGCAGACTGGCTATCAAAGGGGAAGATGGCCTGTGTCAACTTGATTAACCAAAGAGCATTAGTTGGATCCTGATCTGGGGCCAAACACTATGAAGGCATCAAATTGGAAAGCAAGATTTCTGCTGTCAAGGACATTACCATCTTTGGTGATCAACAAGACCAGCTCAAGTCAACTGATCAGAGATCACATAGACAACTGAACTGGGTGGGATTGCCTGGAAAAGCAATAGGGGCTTGAAGACCAGATATCACTGTGGGCTGAAAAGATGTGACATCGCCATAGCGAGGAGTCTTGAGCAAAGAGAGAATTTGGACAGAGGATGAGTAAGGAAGGGCATTGCAATAGGAAAGAGAGCATAAGCAAGGGGGCAGGGGTAATCATGGCGGAGACAGAAGACAAAGAAGAGCTGGCCTTAGCTCAGCAGCATGAGTTGGAGAACAGCAGGGCTGATGGGAAGAGCATCCAGAAATGTTGCATTTGGAAGTGGTGAGCTGAGCTATGCCCTCAGTGGGAGTATGATGCCAAGAGGCAGAGGGAAGTTTATTCTTCTCCAGCATCACCAAAAGTGAAGAAAGGAGAGCTAGGGGACCAGTGGCTGTTACCCAGCTCCGGATAGCAGTGCTCCCAGCTTCCTGCCCACTCCACTTCCTGGCATCCATCCCGATCCATACCAGGGAGGCTCTTTCTGCACAGCACGTTCTGATCTCTCGGGGATGTAGAGCATCCCTCACCCCCTCACATATGTACTGAGCTGGCAAGAACACCAGCTCATTGGCTGGGCTCCCCTGGCTCCATCCCCAGTGTTTGGGGGGACCAGTGAAGCCAGGAAGAATAGAGAAGCTGGGAGTTCCCTGGAGTGAGGCTGCCCTTGGACCAAGCCTAGCAGGTGCTCCTCCTTGCCCCCCACTTCACAGAATTCCTGACTTCCATAGTTCGGCACTCTCTTTGCCAAGAGGCAGGGGGAAGCCAAAGCCTGGCCCTTCTTGGGGGTCCCAAACCATAGAGGATAGAGGGACAATGAGAGAGCCACCTGCCTACCTCATTTTGGGAAATGGTACCACTGTTGACTTCTTGCTGAGGCACAGCAAGTCCGTCAAGCACCAAGGCATGCTTGCTTCCTTCCTTCACAACCACTCCCTCACCCATACCTGCATCTTCTCTCTCCCCCAACCACAGAGCCCAGCTCAGCTCATTCACCTCATTAGTCATCCACCTCATCGCCTGCTCGTCTTCTCTTCCATTCCTCCTCCCATTCCCCACCCCCTCTCCGGCCTAGCATTGAACACACTTCCTTCTCTCTCTTCAGAGTTTGAAATCTCAAGGCTCTGTCTCAAGGGAAGGAGGGAGGAAAGGGGAATGATGTGCTAAGCATTTTGCCTACATTCTTTCCTCCAATGGCTCAGAGATAGCCAAGGGGGCCTTAGGGGAGGTACTATAGGAGGAGGAAATAACTTTGTAGCTCACAGTGGCCTGTTGGGTGCAGGGCTTGGGGAGGCCCAAGGCAGAAGGGGTGATGTGAGGGATGGAATGACATCATGGACCGTGTGGGATGGAGTCTTGGTGGAGTTGGGGTCCTGGACCCAGCTCCATGGATATGTGGACAAGACCAGTCACTCCACCTCTTTCAAATTCAGATTTTTCTGAGCCTGAGAGCTATGAGGGAAAGGACAGAACTGTCACACCAAAGTAGACAATTTTATGACCCACCCCCCAGCTCTATCAGGCTTATGTTTTCATCAGACATACACGGGGAGAAGGAGTTTGCCATTCAAGTAAGGGCAAGCCACCAGCATGGCCAGTGACAGCTAAAACAGAACCTGCCCCCAGGCTTGTAGACAACTGGAACTGGGCATGAGGGAAACTAAGTCACCAGCAACCCATGTCCTAGCACAGGGGACCAGGAAAGCAGGATGAGGAGTGAGAGACAGAACCTGGACCCTCCCCTCCTACCTGCCCTCTGTCCTCCCTAATGCCATGCACCCCTCCCTTCTTTTGCAGAGAAGCCACGGATGAACAACATCCTGACATCGGCCACCGAGCCCTATGACCTCTCCTTCTCCCGCTCCTTCCAGAACTTGGCCCACCTGCCCCCATCCTATGAGTCTGCAGTGAAGACCCACCCTAGCAAGTACTCATCCTTGAAGAGGCTAAGTAAGTGGGTTTTCTCGGGCTTGGGGTCTGCCTCTGCAACCTCTGTGACATCCTCCTGTGTTTTTCTCTCTTGCCCTACACCTGAGGGGACAGGTGTGGAGTTCCAAGAATAAAAAGTGAGGCCATGTGAGTCTAAGGAGCCTCTGGACATGGGTGGGCTGAAGACCCATTAAGACCCTTTACAATGCCAAGACGGTACACAGCAGGAGAGCTCTTCTTTCCTAGCTTCTGACCCTTGGACCTTCTGCCTCCATGTCCCCATGGGGCTATTTTCATGACCACCCAACTGCGGGGCTGAGCCTTTGCTTGACGCTAAGGGGTAACCTACCCTGATGAAATTCATCCCGTGGGTCTACCTATATCAGCCACCTCCAAGGTAGAATGGTGAATTTCTATGGCTAGAAGTGGGGATCCCTAATGATCCGAGGAATCTGATGAATGGCGGGGAAGAGGGAGGAAGGATCTACCCATCCGGGACCCTCTGGGCAAACAGTGGAACAGTCAGCATTCCCACATTCTGCAGAGATTTGGAAAACCCTAGGAAGCCTCATTCCTGAAATTTGGGGCAAAGCAGGCTTATGTGTGTCCTGCGTAAGGTCAAGGGTTTAGCAGTCCCTGTGAGCGTGGGAGGGCCTCCTGGATGGAGAGAAGGGTGGAGCATTGAATGAGGTGCACATGGAGGATGGTTCTGGCCTGCTCATGCTGTGGGCACAGTCGAAGTAGGTGTCGGCTTGATTCTGTGCACATGTGGGGCTGGAGGCCCGTGTGTTGGCTTCCTAGACGCTGGCTGTTACTCAGAGAAGGTGTTACTATGTTCCTAAGTTACCAGCTAAGCATGTTCGCGAGTGCCTCCTGGTTGGAGCATCTTCCTTCCTTCCCTGTGGCAACCCAGCTTCCTTGGAGAGAGGCTCTGAACCTCATCAGAAGGCCACCAACTGCTTCCTTGAGGGTTTCAGCCAGAGCCGTCCTGTTTCCGGACCGTAGCGTGGTCGAAACAGCACTGGAGCAGGATCTCAGGGCCTTGGCCGTGCCACAACTCTGCCCCGAGCTCCCGGGGGGACCTTCGTGGACCCCTGGATACTCAGGGTGGTCCTGGACCAGGGGCATCAGCATTGCCCGGGAGCCAGCGAGAGAGACTCCCAGGTCCACCCTGGGCCAGGAAGTCTGAATCAGAATCTGCCTTTGGCAAGCCCCCCCACTGGGTTTGCACATTCAGTGGAGAAGCTCTCCTCCACCTGTCTGGGCTGTGGGGTCCTGGTTCAGTCCTGGCTGGCCTGTCACAGTGTCACCCCAGCTGACTTCTCTCCCTCTCTCTGCCTCCCCCTCTCCCCCCAGCTGACAAAGAGGCTGACGAGTATTACATGAGGAGGCGGCACCTGCCGGACCTGGCTGCCCGCGGCACCCTCCCCCTCAACGTCATCCAGATGTCCCAACAGAAGCCCTTACCTCGAGAGCGACCCCGCCGGCCCATCCGGGCCATGTCCCAGGACAGGGTTCTGTCCCCGGAGCGGGGCCTGCCCGACGACTTCGGCTTGCCCTACGACCGCATCCTGTCCGACGAGCAGCTGCTGTCCACCGAGCGCCTGCACTCCCAGGACCCGCTGCTGTCCCCGGAGCGGACGGCCTTCCCTGAGCAGTCCCTGTCGCGGGCCATCTCGCACACGGACGTCTTTGTGTCCACGCCCGTGCTGGATCGGTACCGCATGACCAAGATGCACTCCCATCCCAGTGCCTCCAGTAACTCCTATGCCACTCTGGGCAAGAGCCAGACGGCCGCCAAGCGTCAGGCCTTCGCGTCCCGCAGGCACAACACGGTGGAACAGCTGCACTACATCCCCGGCCACCACACCTGCTACACAGCCAGCAAGACGGAAGTGACCGTGTGACTGGCGGGGCGGGGCGGGGCGGGGGCCGGGGGCGGGGCGCAGAGCCTGCCTCGGGCCCTGGGCGGCTCCCCTCCCTCGTCCCCCCTGTAGGACGTGGGGGTGGGCCTCCTCTGCCCAGAAAGCCATACCCCCGGGGGGAGGGGCGGGGGGGGGACACAGCCCGGTGGCCTGGCTCAGCACACTCGGACCTGGGATCTAGAGCGATCTCTCTCACTCTTCCAAGAAGCATCGAGGGGAGTGAGGAGAGGTGCCAGGCCCCAGTCCCACCCCACCCCTGCCCCCAAGCCCCACCACCACTAACTCCCTTTCAGCCCCATGTCCCTCTCCCCCCTCCAGGGGGCTCAGCGTTGGGTTCTGTCGGCCAAGAGACCCTGGCCTGACCTTGGTTCGAAGCCGCCTGGCTTTGGACTGGCCAGCAGGTGCAGTCAACGGGCTGACCCAATAGGCTACTTGGTCTCGTTCATTTACCTACAGCCGCGTCACAGAAATCTTCTAGTGCCTACAAACTGCCTGCTCGCTCTCTCAGAGCCAGGGAGCTGCTGTGTCCATAAGCACAATAACGTTCTCTTCTGCCTGCTGGAACGCTCTGGTCCCCACTGAGTGGCCCTTCCTTCGTTGACCCCCTCGGGGCTCCCCCTGCCCTGTGCCCCTCCCCCAAGGCCTGGGAGATGGGGAGGGGTTTCCTTTCTTCAGCTGCCTCCCCAGTGTTGGGAACCCCCAGTTCTAGCTGGCTGCCCCCCCCCCGCAGGCCCCCCAGGACCCCCTCCTCTAGCCGTAGCTGTTTGGCCCCTGAGCTCTCTGGGGCTTTGCTCCAGTCCTCCCAGAGGAGAGTCACAATGGGGTGCAGGGACTTTGGGGGTGCCTTCCCCAGCAACCTATCTCCACACTTCCTCCAGGCCTCTAGGTCTGAACTATGACCCGACACTCAGGCCTGCTTTCCCCTCCTTTGCTCTGATCCCCAGAGGCCTCTGCCCATGGCCAGAGAGTGGAGGGCGGGGGGGGGGGGGGGCACTGTGATGCCCTGGGCCTCAGGGGCTTGCCATTCCCATCACCCCAGGCTCTGCCTGTCTCCCACTGTGCAAGTCAGGCAGGCAGAGGCAGAGGCCTCTAGAGAGGGTGGCTCAGCCCCCAGCCAAGGAGGACCCCAGGTGGTGGTCCTGCACCTTGCCCACCCCTCTCTCCCCACCACTGCCCACCTGCTTGGCCCATTCTCTGTTCAGTGCTCACTCTCTCTGCCTCCTCCCCCTGTAGTTCCATTACCTAGACCAGTGCCTCCTCTGGATCAAAGCAACAGAGACCCATTAGCAAACACAGAAAATGGTACTCCAGGCTATGGGTCTGGGGGTTAACTGGGCAGCTCCCCACCCCTCCCCTGCAGGGGGGCACTCGGGCACCAGGCAGATCCAAGCCTTCAGCTCTGTTGGGGGACCACCCTTGCCAGCCCTACTCAGCCCCTTCTCTGCCTCCAACGTGGGCAGTGGGCAGGGTGTAAAAGCCCCCTGGAGAGTGAACAGTGAACTAAGCAGCATCCACCTCCCCAAGACCAGAGCCTGGGGGGAGAAAAGAGGTTCCCCCATTCTCAGGGCCAGGGCATTTCCTTGGGCTGGGGCTAGGGGAATCAGCCCCAGACTGTTGGGTAAAGGTATGACACAAGAAAATGTGACTCTTGCCACACTCCGACTCCAAAAGCAATGACCTTAAACTGGGAATTTAGGTTCTCCCAGTTCTGCATACAACATGTATGGTCCTTTAACAAGGGGACCAGGCAGAGGGAATGCCCCAGTGTCAGCCCTGGGAATTTTTAATCTCACCAAGTCTACAATCCATAGAAAACTCAATCGACTGAGTCCTCTTACTTATCTCAAGAATTCCAAAGCTCTTGTCTCCCCCTCAAGGCTCATCACGAGGGTGTTAAGGCTGGGGGTGATGAACACAGCTCTCAGCTTCCACGTTGGGATGGCATCACTGGGACTGTGAAGCTGTGAGGACAGGGATCACTCTCTGCTTTCCTCCCCTACAAACACATAAACCTTCTCAAGGGCTGGTCCCCAAGGGTTTATGAGAGTTTGTTCCAGAAGGTAAGGCTAAGAGGGTTGGGGTGGAGGAAACCAATCTAAACAGAGCAGTTGGCCACTCCCAGAAACAAAAGTGTGTCTCTCACAGCTGGTTCCCCCCCAAACCCACTGCCCTCTAATCCAGCCTCCCCTCAAAGGTTGCCTGCTGGTACAGAGGGGAAAGGGTGAAAATCCCCTCCCCAGGTGTCTGCACACACCCCGGTTACACCCCGAACGAGAAACCGGATCTCATCTCGGTCAGAAGCATCTTCTCGGCACCAAGTTCTCCAGGCGTCAGGATGATGCTTCTCTCCTGCCCTGTCTGTCTGTCTGTCTCAGGGGTTGTCTGATAGGTTGATTCCAAAGCATTTCTCATTTCAGCCTTATTGTTGTCCGGTTTAAAACCTCTGGTGTCAGTCAGATCAGAAAATTCTACCTAAGGCTAAAATGCTGACTTCGGTTAAATGATTCTTCTGCTTCATCCTTGGGGAAGGAAGGAAGGAAGGGAGGGAGGAAGGAAAAAATTGAAGTCTACAGACTTGCTCTAATTCAGTCCTTCATTTCAAAATCCATAAAATTATGTTTCGACTGGGATACAGAAATATCTTATTCCGTCGTCCCACCCACGTTGGGAGAACAAGCAAAGCCACATAACCAGATGAGTTCACATAGCAGAGAAGAGAAGGCTCTGGGCAGGAACCCAGACATCATGACTCCCAGCCCCATCAGGCTGGTGGCCATTAGCACACATAGGAAGGCCATCCCATCCCCGCAATGAAAGCTCTCCTTTCCCTGAAAGGGCAGCCCAAAGCCCCAAACCTCCCTCCACTTGTTTTGTTCTTTGTGGGTGTCTCCATTGCCCTGGTGGAAACGGACAGGGCTCTACACAGGTCCTCTCCTGCCCTGAAGGATCTCACGGGTCTCCTCGATTTTTGATGGCAGTGAAGCTCTCCCAATCCTACAACCCTCCCCTTCTCGCTTCTTCCAGTTAACTCTTGGCTCCATAAGATCGTAAGTCACAAAGGCTTTCCCAAGAATTCCTTTATCCCCCTAACTGGCGTTCCACCCTCAGGGCTCCCCAGCATCTTGGGTGATGGGTCTGCCTTCTAGAAAGTTCCAGACATTCCCTTAACTCAAACTTCTCCTCCCCTCTTTCTACTCTCACACCCAGAAACTCCTATTTTAACCTTGGTCTTCTATGCCGCTCCAGTCTTTTCTTCCTCTCATCTCCCTTGCTCTGCCCTCTTCCCCCAAGTACCTTCCTCCATCCCTAATTTGTAGTTAGTTCTAAAACTTAGAGCCCTCAGTGAAAACAAGCAAAGAAGATGTTCTTCAAGACTTCTGCTTGCCTCCTTGGTTTATCCTTGACTTCTCCTGTTCCTACAAGATGATGCTCCAGGCCATGCAGCCAAGAGCGCTACTCCTCTGATCTTTGGGAGGTTAGGGAGGGAACTGGCCTGTCAGAGACATCACGGTTGGAAGGTTGGCTTTGGTTCCTACAGCTGGCAAGTCCCCTGAAGCTCCTTCCCAGCCTGCCATGAGCCCAAAGGCTCCTGCTCTGGCCAAAGATTCATATCCTTGATGGCTCTCGGCCACTGTGCCACCTTGCTTACGCCCATCCTGCTTGTGTGTGTCACAGATTCCCCCTTTGTCTCAAAAGATGGGAGAGCTTCATGACTCTCCACGCATGGAGAAAGATCCATTCCAACCACCCTGCCGCCAAATGATGCATTTTTCTTCAGAGATACTTTGTCTGCCACCAGCCTTCCATCCTCAGATTCCATCCACAGGTAACCGTGGACTTGACCCAAAGTCATCTGAAGGGGCTGCTGGTGGCCTGGACTCTAGGCAGCACTTACTCTGAGAAGGGTTTGACATGTTACCTCCCACAGACATTCCTCCACCATCCTCCCCAAACCTGGGAAATTTTGCTCTGGAGTATTTTCAAAGGAGCTTGTTGTGTTCTAATGAAGTATTTTTCAGGGTTCAAATGTTATTTTTTATAAATGCAGCATTTTAATGACAGATTCAATAGGAAAGATATGTCTTCCTGGGCTCTATATTTAATTTCAGAAGGCAGCATACTACAGGAGGAAAAAGCGCAGGGCTGAGGCTCTTGGAGGCATGGCTTTGGCCCTGGCTTTGTCTCCATCTTGCCACGTGACCAAGGACGAGTTACGATCTCTCTCAGTGCCTCAGTTTCCCATCTGTAAAACGAGGGGCTTTGAGTAGATGAGCTCTGAAGCTTCATCCAGCTCTTACATTCTAGGGCCTTCATTCCCCATTGGCACCGTCTTCTTTTCTTCGCATTCCTCCCCACCTCAACTGAGCTGCACACATCCCATTACGCCTGCCCCATGGTGACATCTTCAGATGCCCTAGGCAGCCACCAGACTCCTCACTAAAGCCTGAGATGGGCTCCATAGTCTCTCGGCCACCCAGGGATGCTCTCATCTGCAGGTGGAAGGGCCTACCCATTCAATAGATTACCAACAGTGTTCATGAATGCCCTCTCATATAGACATGTCTAAATCATCCTGGGTGTCTGTGTCGTTGGGGAATTCTGAATTGGAAGTGTTCATTTGGATGTGGTCCTTGAAGCTGGAGGGAGGCGGTTCTGATTTCAGAGAGAGGACACGCTGGAGGAGAAGGGTCCAGAGGATAGCCCACAGGGGTGTAAAGTTTGTATTTGAAGACAGCTTGCAAATGCATGTCAAGTCGTAGAGGAGAATACACGGCAAAAGCTTTGTGCTGAAATGGATGTTACTCTATCTCCCTCCAGAATCTGTGTCCTGAAGACTGAGTCTGGACACCAGGCTCCATTCCAACTGGAGGAGAGGGGGAGGCGTCACCCCCTGGGCTACTAGGAGGTGGGCACTCACCCCAGGCTATACCTTTCTAGTCCCTCCTCATGACACTACCGTCCTCCTGGTGAAGGCTTGAGAAGCGAGAACTGAGAGTACAAGTCCGCACCATCAGACCCATCTTGTAAATCGGCCAAACACATCAACTTCCCATCAGGGAGAGAAACGACGTTGTAGGTTTCCTTAAAACCCTCCCTCCAGAGGGAGAGGAAGACCCCTGCTCCACCTTGCCGCCCACTCCTTCTGTACCCCTGCAGTGCCACTCCATGGGAGGACTCATTCATTCGCTTCGTAGTAGCAAATAGTCCTCTAGTTCTGTAACTCAACTAGACATTTTGTAGTAAAGAATTCTTGAAATTCTCGAATAAAAAGCAGTTCTTACTGTAATATTTTTAGTTTGGGGACACAATTTCCTAAGGGGGGGATTAATGAACATTTATACACATTAGCCCAATTTACGGATTCCGTGTTTATTATATGGTAGTACCGATGAAAAGTACCTTTCTATCTGTACCTTTGCACAGTTTCTCCGTTTCTCGTAAGGAAGCTTCACGATGAGCAGGGCTCTTGCACCTGCTGTTTTTTGTACAGATCTCATCGTTCCACTTACTTGTCAAAGCACATCCTATATGTACTGTAAACAGGTATCACTTTAGTAAGATTTAGTCTTAAGGATTTTTCCACTTTTGTCAGTAACAGATATTTATGGATTAAAAAAAATAAAGCTGTTTCAACATAACCCGTGTCTCTTAAAGTAGCCACATGCTTACTTTTGTGAACATCGAGCCAAAAGGAAGGAATGTAGGCCATTGGAGATGGGAGTAGAAGCAGGGATTGGCTGCATATGAAGGAGCTGTATTAAGGTGATGTCCACAGCTGTATAAATGTACTAAAAATCATCGAACTCTACATTTACAATGGGTGAATTGTATGATATTCAAATTGGGCCTTAATAATGCTTTCTTTTAAAAATATTTTTTACTGGGCGCCTGAGTGGCTCAGTTGGTTAAGCGACTG